CTCCCGGACATGTTTTTCCAGGTACGCCATGTGGGTGGGGGGGTAGCGCCGCAGTCCCGACTTCACCGGTACAGCCCCTTCCTTGAGGCGCACCTTCAACGGTTCCACTTTCACCGGCGGGTCTCTCCCGAACTTCAGCCGGAACATGTCCCGAAACTCCATCAAAAGGTCCCGGAGCTGCTCGACAGCTGCTGCTGGCATGCCCGCGGTAGCCGCCTCGGTCACCTTGGCTTCCAGAACAATACGCACCGGACGATCGTCGTCAGGCGCATTTCCCAGTTCTGGCGTTGCACACGCCATCCCTTCGTCGTCGTCGATACCCTCTGACAACTCTCCCATCCGCAGGGTACGGTGCATCGCGACTTCCGGAGTCATGATTGGCTGATCCCCGAAATCCCATACGGCTTGCTGCCGACGTGCATTTTCCAGCAACGTCTGCTCATTCTAGCCCAGCTTCTGCATCACGGGCAGGCCCAGCGTAAGCTCAACGGGTGCTACAGTCTCATCGACCCAGACCCGGAGCCCTCACAACATCAGCGGCCTGCACGCGGTCTTGAATTCCAGGCTGCCCAGGCGAACTTGTTTTGTCACAGTAATCACCTGGCTATCCGCCCCGTACGGTCGGAGTTCCATTGGACCCATGACCGTAATCTCCGGAGATGCTCCCGCAGCCAACAACGCAGAAACCAGGCCTCCGGAGGCCACCGACAAATCAGCTCCTGAGTCCAAGAGTGATGCCTGCACGGCGAGGACACCGTCCACAATAGCCAGAAGCTCAAGCCGTTTCGCGTCCGGGCCATTCGTCTTCACCGTCGCCACGCGGACACCAGGTACTCCCGGAGCTCCTTTCTCGCCCCGACCACGTCCGAACGTACTTCCATGTGCTCTTTGCAGTTGCTTGACCTCTTCGAGGGTGATCCCGGGACATTCCCGGACTCGATGGCTGGTCGATTTACACTTCAGACAACCGTTGTTCGATGCACCGATAGCCGGTGCGTTCGGAATAGGTGTCAGGGGCTTCGTGTCTCCCCTCGGGCCCATGGGTCCTCCCAGGACCTTCGGCCCGGGCGGCTTCGGTATGTCTGGTCTCGCGGGCGGCTTCAACTCTTCTTCGTAACCCACAAAACGCTCGTGACCGATCGCATATTCCCGCAACCAGCGTACGAAACGGTACACATCCTTCTTCAAAGGCTTGTTTCGCGTCAACGCCATCTGCTCGGTAACAACACGGCGTAACGACGCAGGCTTGACGGCGTCCGTGATGATCTTCACGATCGCCTGGCTCTCTTCCCGGATCACCCACTCCTGGTGGTCCCGACGGATAGCCGCAGCCAAACCATCCAGCATACGTCCAATCCGGGAATCCGCGTCCGGGACCGACATATCAAAAATAACAGCAGATTTGATCCTTCAGGGTGTCCAGGGCACGGGGATCGACGTCGAAACCTTGCTTGAACCACGCAATCCATTCTGTCCATCGTGTCGATGGCATGGGCCCATGGCTACGAAGTTGTGTACACACCGCCTATCATTTGGATCTGCAGCCTATCGAGTACGTGTGGGCTTACCTGAAGGGAAACGTGGGTCAGCAATACACCATGGAAACGACCATGACGACCATGGAAGACGTGCGGGTGTGGCTCGACTTAGCCTTCAGCGAGCTAAAAGGTGATTTGATCTATCGTTGATTCAATCATACCAAGAAGAAAGTGCTTGAGCTGAACACGTACGTGTTGAGTTGGAAGCCTCCGAAGAAGTCCTAAACGAGCCTGCTTTGGCGAACGACGACGAGGCCAGCGATGACGACGAAAGTGATGACGACGACCATTTACGGATGTCGTAGATGGGGCACCTGTAGTGATGTAATACTTGTATGCTTCGATATTTCTTACCATTGAATTTGCACAGGTTATTTCTCCAACATACAGAAAATAGCACTCGTGTAAAATGATGCAGTTAAAAAATATCGATGGTCTCGTCGACTGTAAAGACAATTACGCAATACGGTAGCGTCAATTCAATTCACGGTTAACGACCTC